AGCCAGGTCTGCACCCTCTTTATCGCTGGCCTGGGTTTCTCCAGCTCCAGCCACTGAGCTGTCACCACCTAGGACCACACATTCTGGTCCAGGGAGGTCGGTAAGGCTGCTCGAGCCGCATCTCAACCTTCTCCTTGTTAAAACAGCTGCCCTGATCTCTGCTCTCTCAGGGCAGGGCACGTATCCAGGACCCGCATCATTCCTGTGGCTCTTTTCTGAACCGTTTTAGGCTGAGCTGTGTCACCATCCCCCAGGTCTGGACAGATGCCCCATGGACCCTGCTGCTGCCCGCAGAGATGGAGTGTACCCTGGAGACATTGTCTAGGGCGCCCTCATTCCCAGGGGCTGGGATACCCCTTGGGAACTCTGTAAAGAGGGAAAAGGGCTGTAAACATGGTAGAGCCCTTGGAAACTCACGCTACCAGTTCCACTGCCCCCAGCCTGGCTGTGTGGGGAAGACAGGGCCTGGGGTGCCTGGCTGGTGTCTCTGCCTGCCCATCACCTCCCATGCCAGCCCTAGAGGCCAGATCTGAGCAGCCCATCCTTACCTGGCTCTCAGCAACACCGACGGGCCCGAGGATGTCCAGGGGCCCAGGCTCGCTGCTGAGGAGCAGCTGGGAGAGCTGGTCCACGATGCCCAGGCCCCGGATGAGGTGCTCACGGCGCAGGAGAGCCCTGACCCTCTCTGTCTCCTCATGGGCTATGATGTCCTGGGGCTGCATGGAGTCAAGCTGCACCTGCGGAGCCTGGGACAGAAACATGCTGGGAGCCACCATGAGGGCTGGGTCACAGATGTCAGCAGGGAGCAAGGGGATCCCAGGAGTAGTCACAGGCTCCCACAAGGTGTGGCCAGCACTGGCTGGAAGGACAGGCCAAGCCCGGTGGTTCTGTTCCCAGGAGGGAGGCATGCCCTGGATGTGTGCACTGGTATACAGGTGGCCAGCCTGTGGCACACATGCCACAAGCGGCCTATGCAGCCTGTGTGTGTGAGATGTGGCAGACTGAGGAGGGGGCAGACAGCACAGCCACAGACAGGGCAGGGCACAGAGGGCAGAGCAGCAGACCAGATGGAGCAGAAAGCAGAACATCAGATCAGGCAGTGCATGCAAGGCAGGGAGCAGGACACAGAGCAGAGACTGGGCAGGATGCACAGGGCAGGGAGCAGAAGGCAGAGCAGATTAAGCAGTGCACACTAGGCAGGGAGCAGGATGAGCAAGAGGAAGGGGACTGCAGTGGCACCCGGGGAAGGTGTGGGGCTAAATTTGTTGCCGCCCTGCCAGAAAGGTTGGCCCCAGGGTGCAGGTACCTTTCCACCACAGCCCTTGGCACTGTGGAAGATGTGGGTGGGCAGGGCCCTGGCTCTATCGGCGGGCCGGGGTTTCTCCCCAGCTGTCTCCCCCTGCAGCTGCTCTTTTCTGTCCTTCCCTTTCTTAGTGACAGCTTCTCGCTGCTCCTGCTTCACTCGGATCCCCTCCAGCTGCTGCCTGGCATGAAGCAACAGCGTCAGTCCCGGGGCAGCATGCGGGACCACATGCCTGGAGGCAGGGTGTGCGGGCACAGCCGGGGGCTGGTATTGGGAGTAGAGTCCAGGGATGCAGGACTGCCGGGAAACAGCCTGGAGCCGCCTCCCCAGAGAACACCTTTTGCACCCAGGTGCCAACTGCTACAGACCCGCCAGTCCCACAGCCCTGGGGCCTGGTGCGCCCCTCACATCCAAGGACAGACACAGAAGGTCGTAGTGGTGACTCCTCCTGCAAGGCCCAGGGCAGACCCCAATTCACCCTCTTGTCTCCTACCACCAAGAGATGTTGAGAAGTCCCAAGAGGGGCCAGAAGTGACCTCTGTGAGGGCCCTTTCCCGGGGCAGTGTACCTGGCACACTCCTCCCTGGCCCTGGAGGCTGCTGTCTCTTGGAAGAGGGAGCTGCTTTGCTTGAAGAAGGGCTCGTACTTGTCCATCCCACGTCCTGGGTAAATGCGCCGGTAGCCTCCCAGGTGTGAGCTCTCGTACTTCTCCTCCTGGGCCAGCCATGCAGCCTGGCTGCTCTCCAGCTGCTCACGCCTATGGGCAGAGGCCATCACACAGGCTGGGTGAGGGGCCTGCCTTGCTGAGACTCCCTAGCCCCTCTCCTCCCCGTTCAGGGCCCAGTCCCACGTGTTCCCTGCCCTGAGTCAATTCATGCTCTAGTCCTTTGCTGTCTCTTGCTGCAGGTCAGGCAAAGGCTCCCACTCAGGGAGTCACACTGCTGCCCAACCCTCCTGTGACTGCGCCAGTCTGTGCAAAGAGCTGAGCTGTGCTGACTGTGCCAGCCACCACTCATTCGCTGGAGAGCAGGGAGCTTGGGGCAGCTCAGCCCCCCCGGGCGTGCAGAGCCCATGGCCGTGAAACAGGTGTGAAGCAGGTTCATGCCCCTCCACCTAGACAAGCCTGGGCAGCAGACTCATCCAACAAGGCCTGGTTACGCTGTCCAGGGGTCTGGGCTTGCTGCTGAGGAGCAGCCAGGAGAGCAGGCAGGGCCAAGGCGGGTGGGAGCGCAACACTGCCTCGCAGGGAAGCTGGCCTTTGAGCCACTTGTTGGAACAGGCCAGGCAATGGAAGCATTCACCCTCTGAAGCGGTGCTACCAAATGCCTGAGGGGACTGCTGTGTGCCCAGAGCCCCCCAGGAGGGACCCAGTGAAAGGCAGGCAGCATAGGCTCATGGACAGGCTGGGGGGTGGAAATCTAGACAGGCAAAAATCAGCCATTCCCAGGGTTGGGGACCTGGGTCTTACCCTGCTCCCCGCCTGCCAGAGGGAGGGTCATCTCCTCTCCTAAGGGCAGTGCGGGAGTCACAGCCACAGGGTGATTTTACCAGTGCCTCCTGCTGTCTGCCTGCTCCCCCTCCCAGGCCAGCATGCTGGGGAGCAGTACCTGGCCTCCCGGGGCGGCGCGTGGGCCTGCAGGAGGCGCTGCTTCACCCGCCGCTTGTCTTCCTCCAGCACCTTGCGCTTGTCGCAGGAGGCGCGCAGGTTGATGAGGGTGATGGCATCGCACAACATTGCATCCTTCACCTCACGGTCCAGACGCGAGTCTGTGGTGAAGCTCGGCGAGTGGTTCACCTGCCAGGACAAAGGTCTCAGATGCATGGGGCAGCCCCACATCCGGTACAGCAGATGGATCCTGGGCTCCGGCCCTTCCTGCCTCAGCCCCCACGCACAGCTCCCCTCAGGCTCCCGGTGCTGCTGCCCTTTCAAAGCACTGCCCAGCCAGGCTGCAGGTGTTGCCTCCTGCCCCCCCGACCCAAAGGCTTCTTACATAATCTTTGTAAGACAACCATCAACCCTGACACAACACAGACTCACACCCAAACCTGCCACAGGGAAAGCAGGGGGACCACAGCAGCAAACATCCTGCTTTTATATAAGGTTAATGTACACTTGAGAGATCCCAGGTAGAGGCCACATGAAGAGGAAGGCAAAACACCCCCAGCCCAGACCAATCTGATCAGGAGTAAAATTCCTTCCTGACCCTAAACACAGCGGCTGGTCTGATCCTTCAGCTTTGGTCCCAGCAGCATTGGCAGAGCCCAGTCCCCAGGCTTAAAAACACCCAGACACACACAGCAGAAAGAGAGGGCAGGGGCACAGGCTTCAAGTTTCTGCAAACACAGGCAGCCCCATGGATCAGGGGACCCCCTACTCTCCCAGAAGCTAGGGGAAGGAGCTCCTGAGACCTGGGAGGCAGACTGCTTAGCCATGTCCTTCTGCTGCCTGGCCCATGCAGCCTTACAGAGACCACAGGTAGCTGGTTTGAATGCTAGCTTCAGCATGCGCTGGCCTTAGGTTCATACGCTCTGTGCAGGCTACCAAGGAATGAGAGGTCTTGACCCCATGGAGTCTTCTCCTGGCTCACCTCCAGCAGCCAGGGCTTCAGCTTCCTGTCCAGCAGGATGTCAAAGCCCAGGATCTCAAAGCAGGCGCAGCTGGTAGTGTGGTTCGGGAAGCAGCTGCGGTAGTTGTGCTTCAGGACCGGGTGGGCCGAGATCAGGGTCTTGATAATGATGTCCTCGATGTCTTCCCACAGCCCAGCCGTGTCATAGCTGTTGTTCTCCATCCAAGTATTCAGAGTGGACAGCTTCCTGGTGGGGAGTGCAGTAAGAGTGGTCCTGCATCAGCAGGGTCCCACTGCCCTCGTAGGCCACAAGGTTTGCAAGGTCACTGCTACACTGAGGCAGGGCGGGAACCTCCAGGGAGCTGGCCCCAAGTGACCAGGCCCCTGGTGCACCACATACAGAGAGCTGGGGCGGCAGGACACTTTGCACCAGGGCCAGATGCAAGCCACTGCCCTGCAACCGCTGCACAGAGGGTATTCCCCAGAGAACATGGCCCCTAGGGGAAGGAGGCACGGCCCCCGCAGGGAGCACGAGAGCCCCAGCAGGAAGGTACCTCTTGCTGCCAGTTGTGTCGTCCCGGACAAAGTTCTCGTTGTGCTTGTTGATGGCATAATTGGTCAGGTGCATGCAGATGTCACCCTGTGGGAGGCACAGCAAAGTCTTCACTCTCAGCCCCGAGGACTGGCGCCAGACAAGAGCCCCAGATCCCAGTGAGAGTGACTCCCTGATCCCCATGCTTGCCCGTCCTACATCTGTGCTTCTACCTTCCCTTCCTACAGCTGCCTGCAATTTGCCACTCACAGCCCATACCAAAGGCCAGACTCTGCTGGCACTGAGCCCCTTTGGGTCCAGCAGTGGACAAGATGCTGGTGACGGCTCGGACTCTGCCCCCAGCAGGGCCACAAGCAGTCATAACATGGCATGAAAAGGCCGGGAAACTGCCCAAACACAGGTGATAGAGCTGGGCCCAACCCTCCCTTGAACACCCCTGAAGAAAAGGAGGGGGCAGGGAAAAATGGGGAGAGAGAAGGCACCGGGAGAGGAGAGCACTGGGGCAGTGGCACCCCTGGCCCTGCCTGCCTGCTTTACAGTGCTGGGAATCCATAGAGCCCGGTGCTTTCCCCCCACGGATCCAGTGTCGGTTCTGTGGAAACGTCCCTTCTTTACCAGGTTGCTGCTGCTGGGCTCGATGTACCTCATGGTGGCAAACCGGGCCAGCCCCTCCTTGTAGACAAAAATCTTCAGGGGGTCACAGGATGTGACCAGGACGTAGATCCGCATGTCAAACTTGAAGCCATCAACGAGGAAGGGCTGAGAGACAAGGCAAGCGTGAGCAGGAGGCAGCAGCATTGCTAGGCACCTTGAGGCACTGCACTTCTCTGGCAGCATGTCCACTGGGAGGGGACCTGCTGAGGCAGTCTGGGCACAGAGCTGTGGGTGGCCTCCCCCAGCCGAGCTGTCGCTGGGGAGGGACCGGCAGGCTGGGCGAAGCAGGGGGTAGGCCAGAAGGCTGTACCGGTGGGATGAGGAGGGAGCTGCATCCTGGGCCGGACCCTGAGGCTGCCAGCCCCGGCCGAGTCCTGGTACCTTGGCTATGTACTGCTGGCAGATCATGTGCTCCCCGTGCTGGATCTCCTTGGGGCTGCAGGTGATGAAGATGCCTCTCCCCTGGCAGCCGCTGTCTGGCTTGCAGATGTATGTCCTGTTCTTCCTTGTGCGACTATACGCCTGGAAATCCCCATAGCTGTAACAAAGAAGCCACTGGTGAGAGTGCAGGGAACAGCCCAACTCCCACGGCTGGCTAAATGCTCAAGTTGAGGTGGAGCCCTGCAGGATGGGGGCCGCAGCCGCCAGGGGCAGCACCTCCGAAGTAGAATCAAGGGCAGTTTACAGGCTATGCAGCCATCTCAAGGGCTGTAGTGGGCTAGTCCTGGGTGACATGATTTATAACCACACCTGGGGGAGAAAGCCTTCCAGTAACCCACCACCCGCCTTCAAAGTACTACTTAATGCCTCTGCCTCGGCCAGAGGGCCATGGGAACTGGTAGCCGCTGAATATCTGAGACGCTACATATCTGCTGCACATCTGAGCTCCGCTGCTGCAGACAACAGGGAAACGTGACAAGCCCTTGGGTGAGAGCGGAGCAAAATGGTCAGGCTCCTGAGCTCATCCTCAGCATTGCAACAGGGAGCTAGTCGTTAAGAATGAAGCACACTTCCCGACTCCCCCGGGAGCCACTGGCCCTTCACTCTGTGGTCAGGGCACTCATTTAGGTAATGATTTCACAGCACTGGGTGCTGGAGAGGCCTGGGTGGGTCCTGTGCCCAGTCCTGGGTGTCACTAAGAAACATTCAAGCATCCTGAAGAGAATCCAGGAGAGAATGGGAATAAGGGGCAGGGGCTCAGACACTAAAATCCTGGAGGAGAGGGTGGAAGAACCAGGTCTGCATTCCCTAGAAGAGGGGCCTAAGGGGAAGCCTCCCAACATGGAGGCTGGGATGCAGACCTCCACACCCACCGCAGGTTGGACAAGACCAATGTTTTAATTTACTGCCAAGATATGGTTCGGCTACTGGGAGATGCTCACACCATCACTGGGGGTGGTGCAATGGAACAGAAAGGGCAGGGGGCTCGAGAGCTGGTGACAACTGTGCGAGAGCTGGTGAAGGGGGTGTGAGAGCTGGTGGCAAGTGTGTCAGGGATGGTCTAGGTACAGGGGGCCCTGCCTCAGAGTAAGGGCTGGAGCAGACAGCCTCTTGAGGTCTCTCCCAGCCCCACATTCCTATTTGGGGCCTAAATGCAAACTTCAGAGCTTGACACCAGGCCCTGGCTTTCCACAGCATGGCTGCAGTTTTTGTTAACATGTCATTGCAAAGAACCTGTTCCCCATGCTCTGCTGCCCCATCCCTGCAGGAGGCAGGTGGTCACCCCAGGGCAGGCAGAAGCAGCTAGCTGGCTCATGGGCAGGCTGCCTCGGGGCTCTGTGGAGGGCAACCTCTGCCCTCTTCCTGCTAGAGCAATAAGGGGCCCTGCACTCGGGGCGCAAGGGGACAGAGTCCCTCCCAGCACTGCAGCAACCTCTCCCAATGACCTCGGGTGTTGCAGGACCTCAGCCTTCGCCCCACCCCAAAGGCTATAGTGGGACGCAGGCAGTCCCCAGAGCTTAGCCCAGGTCTGTCTTAGATCACTCAAGTCAGGGTGCTGCCCCTTGTTCCTGCCATGGAAGCCAGGCCACAGCCTAACAGCACCTGGCACGTTTGCACACCCACAAGCAACATCCTGGTATGGTTCAGATTGGAGTCATCCTCAAGAGGGACCCACTGCCCTTGTGCTGAGCTCAGCAGCTCCCCTGCCCTGACTTCCCCCCTGCATGGGTCAGCTCTGTGCTGAGGACTCACTCGGCTGGCAGGCACCAGGTGCGGGGGAAGATGCTGTACTCCTTGGGGAAGAGCTTGAGCATGCGGCTGAGGTTCCGGGCCAGCAGGTCCTTCCGGCAGATCTCCGTCATGCCCGGGAAATGATTGATTTTCTGAAACAAGGGCAGCACAGGGAGCAGTGGCCAAGGGGCTGCAGGGACAGGCTGTGAGACCCCAGTGAGTCAGACCATGTGGAGACAAGCAAAGGGAAGGCAGCTGGGGACTGGACTCTCCTGCCCTGCGACTGAGGGGGCAGAGGCCCTGCACAGTGCACTAGGCTCAGCCAGCACGACCTATCTGCCCCTTCCCCCCAGACCCGCAGCTTTCCTCTCCAAGCAGCGTGGGGGCAAGGGGAGAGCAGTCATTCAGCCAGAACCCTTGGCAAAAGGAAACCTCCACATCTCTCTGCTGGCTTTCAGCCGTGGCTGGAGGTGCCATCTCCATGCGCACTACTCAGGGGCTGATGGCATCGCACTCTCCGCGACCCAGATGGAATCAGGCTCTGGGGACTGTCCCAGGCAGAAAACTGGTATGTGAGAACCTCGGCCACTCGCCCTCTCCCATGCCCTGAAGCCCCTCTGCCTGACCCTCCCTGCCCCCACTCCTCCTGCCGGGTAGCCTGTCCATGGAGTGTTTACCTGGAACCTCTTCATTTCCATGACGCGCTCCAGGGAGACTGAGCAGTCGGTCCAGTACACTGTCCACTCCTCATCGTCCCCCACTTCCTTCAGGCCACAGCGCCGGGCTGCGCGCCGCACTGCAGCAAAGCAAGCACATGGCAGGGGAGTCTCTGAGGAAGCCGGGTGCAGAGACCCCAGATCCCCTAGGGCCTGAGGTGAACGGGAAGCAAGGTGGATGGGAACAAGATGGGTGGAAGCAAACACACTAGGGAATGGAGTGAGTGCTGTCTCCTGTACACCCCACACCAGCAAGCCTTCCCTCCCTCTCCAGGTTCTTATCAAGTGCCTGTCATCACTACTTTGGGCAACCTCCCCGGGGAAATACCCAGCACATTTCACTCCAGCTGTGCTCTCTCCACATGAGGAGGCTGTCACTCCCAGCGCAGCAACACTCCCCATGCTACTGGAGCCAAATCAGAGCAGGAGCCCTGGGTTGCGGCCATGCCCAACAGGCACAGGGGAGCTTCACTCCAAAGCATGGCCCAGTTAGCACATTACCTGTGCAATTCACTCACAGAGCAGCAGGTGAACAAGTGACAGTCCCTGCACAGGGATAACCTCCACGTAGCTCCCTTTGCCAAGTGCACGGGGACTCAGGAGGGCCCGCCAGAGTGAGCAGAGCGAAGAGGAAGCCACAGACACCTTGGACTTACCACTCTCGTACTTGCAGTTGGTCAGGTTGATAGAGAGCACCCTGGAAAGGAGAGAGCAGGCAGTGGCTCAGTGCAGGCATGCCGTGCTCACCCAGGTGACTTCCAGGCACAAGCAGGTTCCTGGCTAGCCATGGGGAAGGCCGCTCACTTCAGGGCAGACCTGGGGCTGCCATTAGAAGGCAGCTGGCAGGATACCCAGGGTGACAGCTGCCAACAAAATGTCTCTGGGACTCTTTGGCTTTTGTTCTCCAGCTCCAGAGACTTGGTGTCATGACACATTAAATGCCTCTGCTTTGCAGGTTTGGTGTTCAACATGCAGTGACACAAGTATCCACGTAGGGAGACCACAACAGTGACTCTGTTAACTTGTGTGTATAGCACATAAAGCAGATGGCCCTCCGTACCCACTTGGAAACCCTGTTCAAGTCCCAGTGCCGACGGCCCATGGAGCACAGATTGGCTTAAACTATGAAGACCTCTGCACATTTGGGCTTTGAGGTGGAGTTCAAGTGACTTGAGACCTCTCCTCCAGTCCCAAAAGTCCCAGCGCTCTCACTGGGGCTTGGGCCCCTCCATTCAGAGCTGACAACAGCCACCTGGTTACGTCTGCTGGTTCTAGTCTCCCCGGTGGTGCTCACTGCACGCAGAGATGCAGCTACGAACAAGAGACAATATGTGCTTCTGACCTTTGCAAGTGAAGGCAGCACAGCCCACCCCACTAGAGGAAATGAGGCCAAATGTGCTGGTAGACACCTCCCTGTTGTGCCCAGACCTTGCCCAGTGGAGGCCCAGATGGCCAGAAATTGCCCAAAAATGCACAGGCATAACTAGTATGTGCAAACTGCAGGTGGTGGTGGCTGGGCAGCTGCAGGCCCATTTGTTACAGTCAAGCACCAGCTATGCATACACACAAACTGCTGTGAAAGAGCACGGTGCGGCCAGCGGGACGATGGGTCAGGCCGTGGTCCCTGCCTGCCACGCTGGGTCCCAGCTGAGCAAAGGGGTAGGTAGCTCTGACAGACACACAAGCATGCCGCACCTCACGCGAGGCACGTGGGCTTTGGTCTGGGAGGCTGGGGAGCTCCCGGTGGTGAAAGGAAAAAAGGAGGCAGCCGGCCATCGGGGCTCCAGCGCCTCCCTCACAGGTTGCTTGGCCTGGGAACGGGGAAGCAGAGGCCTGGCAGCGCAGGGGCACTGGGGCCGCTCACCTTACTCTTTTCTTTCTCTTTCTCAGCTCGGTCCCCACGACGCAGTGCTCTGCCACTTGTCTTTCTGGGCCAAGCAGGGACGCCGGCAGAGCTGTCCGCCCCCAGCCGAGCTCGCCCGCGTCCCTTGGCTCCAAGGCCCCCTGCTGAGGACCGCTGTCCGCAAGCGCCGTTTTACTTTCCCCACTGCACCCTGCAGCGCTTCCCCGGGAAGACTCCTCTGACTGAGCCCCTTCCTCGTCTTCGTCCTCATCCGTCTCGTTCGCGGAAACGCTGCCGTCCTTGGAGGCCATCTTCCCTGCGCGGGGTTCGCTTACGGAGCTGTACGGAACGAACTCGTCAGCACGCGATGCACGAGCGTGCCAGACCAGTGAGCGCCGCGTGTGCCGCACGCACCAGGCCAAGGGCCGGCCACTGGGTCACCCGCCGTTGTCAGCTCTTTCCCAGACCCGAGAGGCAGCGCGGGGGCAGGTGCCTTGCACAGCGGGCACCACATCTCTGGTGAAGACGGTGCGGCAGGGACGGCACCCGCCGCGGCTCCTAGCGCAGACCCGCCCCGCCCCGCCGCGCCCCTCTCCCGTCTCAGGAAAGCGAGGTTGGAAGGGGCCTCGGGAGGTCACATCCAGTCCCGCGCGTCTCAGGCAGTGTTGCGCCAGGCCCCCCGCGCAGACTCTGCCACCGCCCCCAGCTCCCCTGGGGCAGCCCCTGCTTGGGGCGCCCCCTGGCAGGGGGGAGGGGGGGGGTCCCCGCAGGCCTCGAGCCCAGGCCCCTCCTGCCATGTGCCTCGCACCCACAGAGGGCGTGGCCCGCATCGCCCCGCCCACGGGGTTAGCCCCGCCCCTGCTCCCGGGGGGGAGGTGCCTCACCAGGCCCCAGGGCGGCTCCCTCCAGCCCCGACGCCGTCTCCATGGCGACAGGAGGTTCCGCCACCGGCAGGAAGCCAAGCGTTGGGGGCGGGGCCTCAGCAACCATAGAGAGAGGCCCCGTCCCCTCCCGCCGCCTAGAACAGCGCCAAGGCGGAAGCACAGATAGCCGCCTGTGAATTGGCTGAGAATCGGAGCGTTCGCCCGCCTCCTCTCGCCTCATTGGCCAGCGCCCCCGGGGAAGGCCGCGAGCGCTCTCAGCATGCCTTGCTGCACGGGCAGCGGCCCGGAAGTGGGGGAGCACGTGGGCCGGCGGGGAGCGGAGCTGGGCGGGACGGGGGTGCTGGCGGTGCGGAGCGCGGGTTACGGGCTGATCGCAAGCGCGAGGCCGGGCCCCGCCCCTGATCCCGGGGTCCTGGTTTTCTGCCATGTAAGAGAATCCCAAATTTTTGGATTCAGAAATTACCCACGTTTCCATGATTCAAATACACCACCACTAGTACACGGATGTATGTGGAGCGGCGTTTTATTTTAATCAGGGAAAACTGGGTTTTGGGTTCCTCTTTTAAATCTGGAAATTGGGGGTTTCTTTTAAATCAGAGAACACCGGGATCCCTGCTGACTTAGTAATTGGCACCAATGCCCTCTCACTAATCACCAGTCACTGATTACAAGAGGTGCCCGAGCCGCTGCCAGGACAACACGTGCAGGCCCCCCCCCCCCACCCC